GACAACCTCTCGTCAATATGCGTTTTTTGCATTGCATTACTGCAAAAAACGCATAAAAAGGATATTCTTTCAAAACTTCAGCCTCCCTGTTCCCAGAATTCCGAATTAGTGAATTTTGCACCAAAATTTTCAAGTACCTGTAAAAAACGTCGCCTGAAATTCTATCCAAGCTTTTGCGGATCCCGTGATAATTTTTTTCCGCCATAACTTTTACGAAGCTGTACGTGAAACTCACGTCTAGGTAAGGGCTAAGTCTGAACTGCGGGGCTGCAAGTCCATGGCTAACACAGAATGCCTGCTTTGCATACCCTTAAGCATCAACGATTAAAGTGTGCAATATCCGAGCCACCAACGAATTTTTCAGATACTTCAGGAAAATATCGAAATAACACAATTACTGTAAAGGTAGCAGTGTTACACCCGTCTCGACAAGCAAGCTTATATGTGCCGTAATCTTCAGCCAGACAATGAAAGCCCAACAAACGCCAAATGGCAAAAATACAGGGCTCACCTCTTCAATTTTCCCATTTCTTCCGCGACTGAAGGATCGCGTGAAACATAGCTAGTGACGGATGGAGAAGTGTAAATACTGATCGAGAAGAGGAAACAGACGGGACAAAAGAATTGTGCAGATTACTTCTTTACGATAACAGATTACTTCTTTACAATAATAAAGACAATTTCCAGCAAACAGGAGATATGCTAAGGGCAGTCAGCATTCTCAAAAAATTACAGCCTCATGCTCAACTGATTGCGAATTTAAAATGATGTTAAAAACTGTCCAGAACTGTAATTTTGTTTGTGTTTATGGCAAAAATGAAAGTACCGCAAAGCGGCTTTTAAAGAATTTAAATCGCATACGGCTAACTGAATTCTCGTAAAATTTCAGCCTCGCAGCTTGTCGTTCTACGTTTACGGACCCACACATGGACAGCAAATGTTTTCGTTAAGTCCCAGCTCTCTGCACAGCATAGTTCTCGAACTGCCACATTGCCAGCTAAGTCTCAATTTCAGCTTTGGCATGTCCCCACACGTGAGGTAGGCGCACATGAAAGCTGAATTTGAAACTTTTAGCTTACTCTTCCAAAAGCTGCTCAGAAGAAAAATGCTGAAAGTACCACATCAGTTTATGAAATGAAAATCATGAATATGCTTCAACGAGGCAAAAAATTGCGTGAAGCCATTCAAAAGGCCGACATAGAGTGCTGGACTTGCAATCTAAATAATCACAATGACAACTTTTGATTTGTAGCGGCACTTATGCGCATCAAAAGCGTACGAAGGAGGGGACACAAGCACAGCGTACTTCAAATAAATCGGAGACATAAAAAAATACCAATGGGCATAATCATTTCGGACAGTGGAAACTGCCTTCAAAAACCAGCAAAAATTTCGTTGGATGTCTCAATGGCTCTTCAATTCCAACAGTTCTGAACAAAAATACTCACAATAAAGAATTGTGGGCAATGAAGAATGAGTTGCTGAGTGCGCGAAACAAAGAATCACATCGGCGACTTACTCCATGAAATTCTCTTCGGAAACAACCTCTCACAGTCAGCCAACAGAGTAAACATTTTTTCTTCCAACCTACCGTAAAACAAGCTGTTTTTCTTTTCCGCATAACTGGTAATATTTAACACATTTACTGTTGATTCTGAGTTCATATTACATTGGAACTGCAATGATGAATCAGACAATTGGTATTAAAGAGTATGCTGGCGATGTTAGCTGAGATGCTTTTTATGTTCAACGTACACAAGGCGAGTAGGAGGTTGCACTGATAACTCCAACTCCGACGCGCTGTGCTCTGTCTGTGTTTACATCTAAAGGATGAAACAAAAACTACCTTCCGTTGTAAATGATATGTTACGCATGTTATTTAGACTGAACTATTATTTCCCACTCTAACATTTCTCTACCACGAATTATGCAAATAGACTTATAACATTTTGTCGTGCGCACGACAACCAGAACTGTAAAAACATAGTTCAAATAAGGCGGGACGGAACGCAGATTTCGTCTAATTCATGCAAAAAAGTAGGCAATTAGCTTTAATTTCTCCAACGTAATTCCATTCCAGTGAACCCCCTGCTTCTTAGCCGTTCCACATGGTTGCAACAAGTTTTGCGGATATTTGAATGCATTTTTAGCTAAAAATTGCAGAAAGTTGCATAATTTGTTAAAACCCGTGAACCTTGAGCATCTTAGGAATTATGTCCAGCGGCAGTATAGATAGGCATATTGAAATGTAATGTTGGTGCTACTAAAAAATGATAAAAGCTTACTGTTTAACAGCATTATTGGTGTCCTTTTTCGGCAATGATTCGGCCGTTTTGGCCTCTTTCATAGGCAATTCAGGTGTTTTTGCGCCTTTTTTCCTGGGTACTTCAACCATTTTAGTATCTTTCGCTGCTGTTTCCAAAGCCCTGGTTTCCCTTGTTGCTGCTGCCTCTGTCGTTTTTGCATCCTTCGTTGCTACTTCAAACATTCTACCTTTTTTCTTCGTTGCTACTTCAATTGTTTTTGCGTCCTTACTAGCTGAAGCCTTAGACGTTCTGGCTTCCTTCACTGTTACTTCCACTGTCTTAACATCCTTTTTTGCCAGTATTTCTACAGTATTAACATTCTCGTTTGGCAATAAGTCAGGCGTCACCAAATCCTGTGCTGTTATCTCAGACATTTTGGTATTCTCATCCGTCACTACATCAAGCATGTTGGCGCCATCTTGCACAACTTCTAGTGTATCAGCACGCTCCTTCACTGGCAAATCATGCTTCGTTGTTTCTTCAGCACGTGTGTTTGTTAATTGTTCAACCAACCTGACTTCACTGTTCGTTGTTGTTTCATACTTCCTATCATCCTTCTTTGTTGCTCCAGGCACGCTGTCGTCGTTTTTCGTGAATACTTCTTTCTTTATTGCAGTTTTGGTCGTCCTCGTGTCCTTCTTAGCACTTTGTACATCAGAAATTTTGTGATCCTCCTCCGTGGCCACTTCAGACATGCCATTTTCGACCGCCCTGGCATTTTCCTTCATTGTTGCTTCAGGCATGCCGGTGTCCTTCTTCAATGGCATTTTGAGCATCATGTCATCCTTCTTCACTGTTTCTCCATCTAACTCAGGAACCTCCCTCGGCGCCTCTGCATCTTCACTAACCGCTACATCAGGCGGCTTGGGGTCCTTTTTCGTTTGCTTTCCGGACGCCCTAACGTTCTTTTTTGCTATCACTTCTAACATCTTTCCTCTTGTGAGCACGTTAGTAATGCAGGTATCTCTCGTCGCTACTTCAGACATCTTGATATTCCTCTCTGCCTGCATACCGACATCATTTTGGACAGAAACTTCCAGCGTTTTGGTACTAAATTCCGTCCACATATCAGACACGTCGCTGTAATTTGTCTTTTCTTCAGCATTCTTAGCGTCCTTTATTGCAGGTTGTTCAGCAGTCATGGAATCCATCGCCATTTTTATTTTAGATGTATTATCGTTTTCTTTTACTGCCTCAAGCGTGTTCGTGTCCTTCTTCACAGATATTTCAAGTTCCATGGCATCTTTTTTCACTGCCGCTCCGCTCATTTTTGCTTCCAAATTCGCCCTTAATTCTGGAGCCCTGACATCCTCCTCTGTGGTTACATCAACCCTGTTAGTGTCTTTCTTTGCTGGCTCTGCTGTTATTTCTGACACCTCCGCGTTTTCCTCTGTTAGTAGGTTGGGCGCGATGGCGTCTTTTTTCGTTAATGTTTCAGTCGTTTTGGCATTCCTCGTTGTAATTTTAGCCTTCGTAGTGTCCGCTCTGGGGTCTCTCCTCCTTACTGGTTCAGGAGTTTTAGAGTGCTTCGTTGTTATTTTGTATGTTCTGGCGTCCCCGTTCATTTTTACCTCAGCAATGCTTGCGACTGTTATTTCAGACCGCTTATTGTCTTCCGCCGTTTGTAAATCAGATCTGTTAGCATTAGTTTTTACTAACTCTAAAGGTGCCATGACATCGTTGTTCATTATTAATTCCAGCGCTTCAAGATTATCTTGCAGCAGTACTTTATCCGTTTTGGTTGGTACTTCAGACGTGCTTCTATCCGTTCTGGTCAACAATTCTGATCTATCGGCATTCTTTTTGGTTGACATTTCAAGCGTGTCTTCAGCTAGTGTTAGTGTTGCGTTGGTTGTTTTCTCATACAGCATTTCTTGCATTTCCCATGAGCTGCAAATTTATGGTTCAAAAACGACACAATGAAGAAAAAGCTGCTGTAGAAATGCATAAGCAAACTTTTTTTGCAAATACGTAGTGCTACAAGTTAAAAAAAAAATTAGTGCGTAGATGTCTGAGTGCCCTGAATGTCGTCTGCAATTCAAAAAAAGAGCCACCCCCTCGTTTAAACATATTTCCCTTAGATTACTTAACTTTCTCAGATTATCCTGTCTTAACAGAACTTTAAACCGAACGGCATTTCGACTCAAGTCATTTTACTTCTGCGTGAATTATCATTTATTGATACGGCACCGAATTTTCATTACACTGCCACGGCAACAGAAGTGAATAAACAATTGTCATCATCTGCTCCATCTTTATCCCTCAGTGTCTACAGCCCTCCATAACGAACATAAGCGCATGGTATCGCCAAGGAGTATCTTTCTACAAAGTTGTGAGCCGAAAGCGATTCAAAATTTTCATCCTTGCTACCTCTGGATTTTTCGTGTCAACAATTTTAGCACCGGTCTTGGCAATACAACCGCAAAAATTGCATGCTGCATGTATGACAACTGCAGCAGTGTACACTCCTCTCACATCTTCGCTCGTTTTATTCCGGCAATCGTAACTGTCGGTTTGTTGTTGCTACTCTCGCTGACGACTATTTTGGCACTCCGCCACAACCGTCAAATGGTAAAAATCACCCACCCCTTGGCCACCCTCCATTCGGAAGTAGCCCGAGTGGTAGCAGTCTGCTCCTAAATAACACTCGAAAAAAGCTTTCTATGATAACTTTTTTCAAGGATTAATTAAGAGCAAACCGATAGCAGGTACAACTCTGGCATACATTGGTACCAATTAGACATCGAAAAAAGGGATGAGTTGTGGGGGGACCGGTTTTTCCATGGCAGCAGTCAAAGCTCTATCTACAGAAACTGGTAGCAACGCTACTTGCTGCTGCACCATTTCAGTCAACCGTACTCCATAAGTATGTATATGACAGGCCCGTCTCAACTCAAAATTAAGTTTCAAAACATTTGCGAAACTGAAGAAAAAAAGACTTCTCGTCTTGCTGCAAAGTGGCTTCTAGCTCGATTGTCTTCAACAGTGATTCGAAATTGCGAACAGAGTCATACATGAACAAAAGCACCTCCTGAAAAAAACAACCTGAATACTCATCCTGTACTTTCTAGCCCTGCACCAAATCCACACTAAACAGTCCAACATCAACCACTAGTGCATCGGCTCTTCAGCTGATGTCTATTACGGTTCTCCAGCAAAACAGAGCACAGTCACAATCGTTTCGTCGTGAACGGAGACTCTTATCAAGAAGAGTTCAGGAACCGGAGAGCAATCGAATAGTCCCCTTCACATCCAAGTGCGGCATGTTACTTATTACACCACCGGTCCTTGTGCTCCAGGATTAGTCTGGCAGCGGATCTACTTTGTATCTGTCTTTCAAGACAAATAAACTTTTCTTTGTTTTTTTCCCTCCCCTCCCTCCCCTCCTCACAAGCAGTACATCTATTATTTATGGCGGCTTCTTTTGCCGGCTTTTCGCGGGTTTACCGCGACATGTTCTTCTCCTCTGATATTAAGGTAGTAAAAATTAGTAAAAATGACAGAACACCGCAAACGCTAAGCACCACTTAGCAAGATTCCTCCGGAAGCTACAAAAACATTAGCTAACGACAGCCTTGACTCATCAAAATTTACCATTATCAATTTGTCATAAAAAAGAGGTAATGAATTGCAAAGAAACCGATTTTTTTTACTTTTAATTTTTATGCGTTTTATGCTGTGTAACAGCAGTACAAAACGCATATTGTCACGGGGTTGTCTGTGT